CTTTATTTTTTTCGATCGTAATTCCTTTTTTAACGTTCAAACTATCAACTGCATGCAGTACAACTCTGAACCGGTTGTACTGAATTCTATGTTATAGGTCGCAATCATGCAATGAAATAAACGCACACACGCGAAACACTTAGTTCAAAAACACAATGATTTGCTTTAATTGAAAAGAGGTTATTTGGTCCTTAACGAAGAAGAAAGACAAGGAAACAAGAAAGAAAAGCTAACAGAATCATTACACTTGACGGCGAAAATAGCAAGAAGGTCGAATTATAACATTGATCTCAGAACACTACGCGTAAACAAATCACCGGCCGCCGAAACCCCGAAACCACAAAGCGACTCTAAATGAAAAACCTACCGACTCTCCGCAATGATTCTTCATTCGCAGTTCAATTTAGCATTTCACGGTTTCGAAGACAAGGGCAATTTTGCTGTTTAAGATAAAGATTATTATAAGCTTATGGAAATGTTTGAACAACTCGAAAGAATGCCAGGGATGCGATCTGCTGAATATCAGGCGACAATCCCGCTAAAATTTTTCATAATTATGCATAATTATGCGAAAGTTTAAACCATCAACCAATCAAAATCACTACCCGGTTTTCGGGTAGTGAGTGACGTCACTGGACGGCATTAACGGCCGGTCGATTCAGACGTTGTTAAGAGGAGAAAACGACTCGAAGCAATCGGATGAATTTCAGGCCTCTGACTTCGAGTCCACCTTCTGCAGATACGCCGGCTTGGTAGCTGGGATACATTGCCGAGGCGAAGATATGGCATTTTTCCGCCTTGTCGTATTTTCTCCAAGACATTTGTTTATATTTGTTGTGAGAATGCAGTGCATATCGGTGGATTTTACTTCGTGCGACGTGCTACTTATAAAAGAAGAGTGCCGGATTTCATCGCTTTGTTCGCCTTTAATTTGTTGTTGAATGCAAGGTAAAATAACGGCATTACCGACTACTGTAAGGTAAGAATTGAAGTTTAAAAATTTGTTTCCTGGCGAAAAATAGGGCATAGAATTCTTGAAACCCGTGAGAATTATCTCTGTTATACCTAATGTCATGGGATAACTCCTCGCTTTTTCGATGGGTAACACGGATACAAACAATAGTTTCTTTCGCAAAGTTAAGTATAATTTAGTTATCGAGACCATTTGAGGACGATTTTTCATTATATGTTTCATTACTTGGCTTATTCCGGCTACCTGCGAGGAATTAGATGATAGTGTTTCCGTGGTATAATTATGCTGATAATTTTTTTTGCTCAGCTTTGCACCTTTGTATTGAAACTCATGAAAGCCAAACTTGATTAACCCTAGCAAAAAACTCCTCTACTTTTTGGGGGGCAAAATATGGTGTAAAATGTAGTGAAAACAAAGCTTGATTTTTGGCAAAACGGACTGTAGCTTTTTTCTTTGAAGAGACTGGGGGCCAAACGAGAACTTTTTAAGCCCTGTGAGTTCAGTGTAACCCAACGATTCTTTAGGTAGAGCTAACAAACTATTATAGGCTGCACTTTAGGCGGCGCACCCATGAGTGTAGTGTAATCTAGTGATTCTTTACCAGTAGGTAGCGCTAACAAACATAGGCTGCACTTAAGGTGGCGCACCGATGAGTGTAGTGTAACCCTGTGATTCTTTAGGTAGAGCCAGCAACAACCACCGCCCGGTTAACTCAGTTGGATAAGCGCCGGTCTGCCGAGCGGGAGGCCGCTGGTTCAAGTCCAGGCCGGACTAACACTCAGGGTCTTTAAATAACTGAGGAGAAAGTGCTGCCTTTGTAAAGACATCTGCAAACGGTTAGACTTTCTAGTCTTCTCGGATAAGGACGATAAACCGTGGGCCCCGTCTCACAACCTTTGCATATGTAAATTCTGTGTGACGTTAAAGAACCCACACACTGTTCCCCGGTGTGGTGTGGTCCTCTCATGGGGGGGGGGGGGGGGGGGGGGGACTGTTACGGGCCCGCGGTAATTGGCGTCATGCTGTTGCGGTGACCCTGCCAATAGTTGGCGAATCTAATAAAATAAAATAACTTAGGCTGTACTTTATCTGGCGCACCCATGAGTGTAGTGTAACCCAGAGATTCTGTAGGTAGAGCTTACAAACGTAGGCTGTACTTTAGGTGGCGCACCCATGAGCACACTGTAACCTAGTAATTCTTAAGGTATAGCTAACAAACATAGGCTGCACTTCAGGTGACACACCCATGAGTGCAGTGTAACCCAGTGTTCTTTAGGCAGAGCTTAGAAACATAAACTGTCATAGGTGTACATCAGATAGCAACACGTTTTCCATAAAACGATGTGATGCTACAATGCACATGGCACTTTGACTACTCCTTTATAGCTACATACAACGTTTTAACGCACACGATTGATAGTCAAAGGAAGTCTATTGTCCAAAACCATTTACGCACATCACAGAGGTAAGGTAAGGTAAGGTAAGGTAACGTTACTTATACACGGTATTTCCTTCAGGTACTAAAACAATAATAATAAAAAGCATGCTTTACAAGGAGGCCGTGTTAAAATATTACATATCTCTAAATTAAAGTTTCTTAATTTTCCTTTAGAAACATAAAGGGATGTCAATTGCCACACCTCCCCGGCCAAGCTGTTCCACAACACATTTCCGCTATGAGAAAGGCTTCTTTTATAAAATACGGCGCGGGTTTTGGAACAGCGAGCTTGTATTTATTCAGGGGCACCCAACGACTGTTTCCTCTGAAATATCTGTTCGGAGAGGCAAAAATTGCCTAAAATTTTCTATAACTCGAGGAAGGCTAAAAATTTCTAGATGACCGTTCCATTCAAACGTCCTTTTAATTTCTATGGCGTACTTTCCGGCAAATGAAATGAACTAAGTGTAAAAAGTGAAATAGAAATAGCGAAAAATTAAACTTCTAATTAAATCTTTTCTTGTGGTTTAGAATAAACTATTCCGGAAACTGAGAATGTTTTGATCAAAGCTGGGTAAATCGAACCGAAACTGTGCATAGAACCTTGCGTTTATTTCCTGTATTTATCTCACCTATTGTATGGAATATGTGTGAATATCTTCATTATGAATCGGTATACAGCTATTTCGAGAGAGGTTGTCGGAAAAAAGTGCACGCGACAATCCCGAAAGGTACTATGGGATATGATCAATACACTGTTTCTGACACTATGTAGCTGTCGAACCTACTTTTGCTGCTTCGCTTTAGCGCTGGGAAACATAGTCCATGGCCTATCGCGCCATTCTTTCAAAATTTCTATGAAGAAGAGTGATCTCAAAACCACCCACCATACCTTTCGGGATTGTCGCGTGCACTTTTTCCGACAACCTTTTTCGAAATAGCTGTATTTCAAAGACCTACACAAGGAGCAAGAATACTATATACAGAGCGGGGGCAGCTGTAGTGTCAACTATTACTAGTTTTAAATTATCTCGTTTGCCAAAGTGTGTGCTACTGAGAACCAGACGACAGCAAATGGACATAAGCTTCATAGTTCTCGCGAAAATTGAGACGCATTTATTACAACTTGATGACAAGCATAGACCGGTAATCGCATTTGTATAGAGGAAATTAAGTATCAAATCCGTGTCATAAGAAAAGGATTGTAACACTTCGCTCGGATACTGCTTGAGGTGCTTCAAAAGTCCCTTACAATAGGCCACTTCCGAGTTCCCCCGGGCCTCTGTTTCATAACATGGTTAGGTGCTCAGCCTTTGATAGGGAAATTATTTTTCACCCTCAAGCAAATAAAGTTCATTTTCACAAGAAAGGTTGTGCACCTAGCCTAATTTTGAAAGTGAAGGTTTTTGGAACTCGGAAGTGGCCTATTTACTGTAACAACGTTACAATAAATTGTATGAGACTTTCCAGGATACTTACTGTTCACAGACAGCCAATTTGTCTCCACGAACGATAAAAACTGGTGGTACGGGCAGGCTTAAAAAAAGAGAAAAGAAAATATAATGAGAACACGAAAGTCCCTAAGTCGGCCCCATTTTTCCTTTTAGGTCTTCCCTTTTTATCTCTCAGCCCTTAGCTCAAATCCAGTTTAATGTTTCAGTATCCTCAGGCTCTTTCCCAGCTAAACTTAAAACCGCCAAAGTAGTTCCAGCTTTTAAATCAGGAGATGAATTTAAGCCTAGAAACTATCAACCAATTTCCTTTGGCTTTCCGAGTTGGTAAGAAAAGGAAGGTTCGAAAAGACGGGATTCCACTGTACCTTCAAATGCTTAGAAGGACCAATAATGTTTGGGTGAGGGGGGGCATTATAGAAAATCCACTTTTGTCACTTAGATCTCAAAAAAAGATTTCACTTAAGATTTATTTCTGCTTAAACGAAATACAACTGTTAACAGTACATTTCACTTCTTTGTACCGAAATAGTTGTATTGTCAAAAATTGCACTGTGTTCTTTTCAACCCTGTTAAGCAATACCAAATAGTGTACATGCGACATAAGTCCTCTTTTACCTTCCAAACAGTATTTTTTAATAAATTATGATAAATGGAGATCGAACTGTAGCATCAAATCACGATCAAATTTAACATCAAATGACAAGAAATCATCTTTTTCTTTTACGTTAACCGTTTATGACTGTCAGATATTTGTCAAATGCTCAGTATCGATATTAACAAAACTGTTTATCGACTATCAGAAATTGGCCCACAAGTAAACCAAGGTCTACAAATTTAAGCTTTTGTAATGCCGTGCCTAAACTAGCATCGCGTAATTAGACTCTGACCGTAGCTATGACATACTACCTTTTGCATCCATCTCAGTTAAAGTCTGACGAATTTAACGCGTGGTGTTACTTTTCAAACATTAACTGTTTGTGATTGAAGTCACAGTTTGCGGTTTGCAGTTTAGCGTATGCTACTGGCATTTCGGTGAAGGTAAAAGGCAGAATGAGTTTGCGGAATGGCACGTGGCATGGCTTGCGGAATGACATTATTTTGTGGAATGTAATATATGCAGAATGACCCAAAGAAATAAAGAAATAAATTAAATTGAAAAGTGCGTCCTTTTTTTGGCGCCAATCAATTTGCAAACGCAGCCGCTGTTTTCATGGTGACATACGATGGCAATCAAAAAGCCACGAGGGCTCATTGTCGATTAACCTTTTCGGCACAGCCACAAAAATTCTTCTTGCCTTTATTAGTCGGGCTGCATGGCAGCACCGATACTACAGCACGAAAGTCGGCCATTGAAGAAAAGATGTTTTGGAAGGTCAGGCTCCCTTCTACTTAATTAATTTTTTTCTGCAAAAATGTTTGCACGATGAACTTTACAGTTTCCTTTTACCTATATTTGTATTTGCAACCATGTGAGAAGTGTTTTTTTTTCAGACGGTGGGTTACGTGCTCGTGACATAATATTCACTGAGAGATGAAAACAGATCTCGTATTTCGTTTCCTTACTGAGCTGCTTGGTTAAGGAGTTTCCGGCACGCGAAGCTAACAGCTGGCACAGCTTCACACAAACAAGGAAGGTGCGAAGACACGCGGAAAGACCGAAAGGAGACAGAAAGCAGTCCGCTTCACTCGATTTCTGGATTACAGATTAATGTTTGACTCGGGGCATTCATTTATTCTCAAATATGATCTGATCCCTCCACCAGATTCATTAATAATCCCTAGAATTTCCCTCTAGCGTTTTGACATTTGAATTTATTATAATGGTGGGCAGAGAGAGAGAAAGTATTGTCGAAAGGAACAAAAATAAATTAAGTATCAAATATTTAAAGTGTTGCATAGACACGAATGCAGTAAAGCTTATCGCTACTTTCTGTTCTGCCTTGTTGGTTTAAGCCAGCAGTAATAAATGAGCCTGCAAAAAAGTTGCTCACTCAAATTGGCACCAAAAAAAGGGGCGGCAAAGACGCGCACATGTTTTTCAGTTTAATTTATTTCTTTGCGCCATTTTCCATATTTTCCATTACACATAATTATGTCATTCCGCAAGCCGTGCCACATGCCATTCCGCAAACTCATTCCGCCTTTTACCCTCACCGCTAGCATTTCGCATTAAAATTCGCGATAAGTTTTTTTTGTGGGGGAAGATTTCGCAATTCAGAAAGCTAACTCTTTTAACAAAGCAATGTCTTAATGCCAGGTGCAAGGCCATCTATTAAAAAGGAACCGTCATTAAATGAATAGTGTAAATTCAGATATCTATCTATCGATAGTAGGACAAAAACCAATTCAAACTACAAAATTTACTATAAGGTCTAATGAAATTAAAATTATGGGCGCCGTGTTTCCGTTGTTATGACTGGCGCAGTGATCTATGACGCAACCGTAAAATTCAGAAAATAAGCCCCGGGGCTTACATTTTTCAAAGGCCCTTTTGTTGGGGGCTTATATTACTTATTTATCTGTATAAATTCCTAATTAATAGTTATAATTTCAATTCATCAGCCGCGCTCTTCCCTGCTACGTTAACAAGCCCTCCCTGCACTTTCAGTTTGTTGAATATTCAAGAGGGTTGTACGTTAAATAAAGGTTGTTGAATAACAAAAAAAAAGGTGCATCATGAAATAAGCATGATTGCTACTAGTTAAGCTAAAAAGTAGGGCAAAAATATGAAACCACACCCATTCTCTCAATGGCTATTTTATTTTACCAATGTTTTGTCTGTATTGGAGGCGTAGCGTCAAAAATATGATAACTTTTACAAATTAGACGCAGGAAAGAGCGCGCTTTTCTAACCGTCTCACGCAACCAACCGCTATACAATTCGAAAGTAAACCTAACAGAGAAATTCTTCACATTTCAAGAATAGGCTCAAATGGTGGTAGTAGCAAATGTGTAACTCCGCAAATTAGGTTTTGTAGGGGGACAAATTCAGTCTGTTACGAGACTGAAAAACCTCCGCTCGACTTTTACAAATCTGGCAAGTTGGCGCCAAGAAACTTTAGCGCGCTTTTCTAAGTCGCGCGCAACCAACGGTAATAGGTTTGAAAAGTGAAACTACAGTACCAGAGTAATTCTCTACAATTCAAAGAACAAGCTCAAACGATAATAGTAGAACATGCATAAATCCACACATTAGTTTTTGTAGGAGAAAAAATTCAGTCCGTTAGAATAGAATACTTCTTTTGAACTATGTTTCAGTGACCGTTTAGACTAATAGAAGCAGACATTACTTACCAACTCATTGCGTTTAACGATGATCCCAAATCAGTAGTTCTCGACTTTCTGCTGTTTCAAAGACACAAATAACAGAAAACTATCATCTTTCTTTCTCAGGATCGAAAATTTTTAATTAAAAGTAAGCTTACAAGCTTTAAATTCGATTCCCTCGTGGAATGTTAAATAGTAATATTCCCAGTGACCCTTGGGTCCAAAATATCAACTTTTGTTGCATGCAATTTTAAGTAAAGTTAGCTAAGTTACCTTTAATTTAGTAGTCACCAAGAAGACTGCCTTCCTAAAAAAGCTGCCGTTGAAGAGTCTGAAATGTTAATACTTCAACACAGCAACGAGCGATCGTGTTGCACGAGGCGACTAGGGTGCTAACTGACCTGGGAAATGATGCAAGCAAGCTTATTAATGCATCATACACAATTTCGTACCCAGAGTCCTCGGGTTTTTGATCAACGGAAGAAGAGGCGACGATTGCGTCAGGGGTTGTTTACCATTAACAAACATTTTCTGGGAAATCTGGTTGGAAAGTAAATGGAACACGACTTTCTGGGTCTTCCCAGCGGAAACGGAACATCTGAAAAGGTAGTCCTGTTTGTCCGGATGGAATACTGATTCCAAACGGAAATTCGTGTTCCATTTCTTCAAAGCCATCTTTGATACCAGTTTCAGGCTTTCGCGGTCGTTTTCCGGTAAATGGTAAACGAGATTCCGGGGCGAAATTTACCAGTCCTGAACTGTGTTTGCGTACCGGCATTTGCCCAGACCGTAGACCGACCGGTTTGCCCGTGTAAATGGTAAAACAATCAGGATGTTGCAAATACGAATACTGCCTCAAGAATAATCAATAATCAGTAAAGATACGATGATACGCGTGACGACAAACGTTGAAAATTTTCTAGGTTCAGACGTGGTTTCGTTGTTACAGTCAAGCCAGGTCAAGCGTACCCAGCAAGATTCCATTTATGAATTTATTATTCAAAAGTTGAATCCGTTGGTAGTTGTAGATTTCAGTTTCATCTCTGCATTCTTTCATCCGTAATGAGCCGTGAATTCACAGGTGAGCAGGTGGTGTGCGCACTACGATCGCTAAGCATCATGGGCGGTATTCAAAATCTGATCAGTTGTGTCAAGATGGCGTGGAGTGAAGATCTCGACTACGGAGTGAATATTCGTTAATTACCCTGTAGATATATACGATTTTGCTTTGAATCTCTTCCGGAAGCTCTTGAAAAAGAAAGTCTGTCCAATTCTCAGGGAAAAAACAGTCTCATTCCGTTGATAAGTGTATTCTGGTGTATTTTGTTCGTTATCACTTGCATCCTATTTGCAACTGACCGAGAAAAGTCGGCACAGAAACGCTTTGTTCAATGCTTCAATCATGAAAAGCACTGGAGGTAAGACCCGCGGTTCGCCGAAAATTTTGAATTCACCGTGAAATCAGTGCAACTAGCGCTAAGAGGTACTGATATGCATAGCTGTGATATACTCATAAAAATACTAGGAGCTTCTTCAGAATACCCGGCCACGGTATTTAAACACAGTGAGCTTATTTTGTTTTGTCATTCAGCATTGCAAGATGTTCACTTGCTAGCTGTAATAAGAGAATCGAAGTTGAGGGGGTCATCTTTTCAAGGACTTGTTTCTCTGTTGCCACCAAGTCTGCATTTCGTTTTGCCTAACATCTGTATTTGTCATCTCATGAAGACAAGTAAATAAAGTAGAGAGTATTTGTGTACAATGAACTTGTGTCCTCTTTATAGATAATATAACATTGAGCATCTTTATTTGCCCATATATTTTCTATTGGTATGAGTCATAGAATGTCTTATAACTGGATTGAAACTGAAAATGGCATATTTGTGATTACAAAGCCTGATGCAGTCAATAGATTTTAAAAGCTTCAGCCACTATTTGTTTAATGATTGTGTCAGTATGTACATTATCTGCACCTATTTTTTTGGATTATAAAAACTCTTCAAAGTGTGAAATTCATACATGTTTACAAATCTCCTGTAATCAGGGCTGGGGCAACATAGCTTGCGACCCTTTCCTTTCTCCTCACCCCAATTTTATAATTTAAATGTGGCGTCATAGGTCTCATCATACTCACAGTCAACTCTGTTATACAGACACTGAGGGGACCGTAGAAATTGCCCATCTTAATTTAGAGAAAAATTTAAGGGCTTTTTTCCAAGGAACAAAGCAAGCTGTCTGTAATAATGGGCAAGGCTGTGCTCTAAGGAACATTGAAAGGAGCCCAATTCTCTGAACTGTAATTAACTGATTTGTATGAAAAGTCTGAGATTTTCTAGTCACCCAAAAGCAAAAGTTAGGTGCCAGGGGCCACAGGGCTCTGCTAGAGCACAGCCTTGTTCAGGTGTCTGTATGAAGCGGTTGTCTGAAAAGACAGCTTTTGGGTTACCAGTTATTGCAGAGGTGGATCCTAGTAGTACAGTCAAACCCCCTAACTTAGAACCTGAATTTTAAGAACCTGTTAGGCTAAAATATGCCAGATGAGCCCCCTTTATATAAAAACCTGTCTAGCCTAAAATTGGAGACAGGTTCTTATTTTTGAAATCTATGAAAAAATTCTGTACACTTGAGCAGAGATAAATCAACATTTAGAATCTTCTTTGGAGACAAAGCTGTCTTATCACTCTAACTGCAATGTACACTCCTCGTTTTATGTCCATTCTCACATAACTTCTAATTTGGTATGCAGACTTTATATAAGGAATAAGGTGAAACAAAAGTACTCTTAGTTACATTTACATTTTTTCTTCAGAAAATATGAACCCATTTAAAAACCTAAATAGCCTAAACTTGAGCTAACTACTATTTATATAAGAATCTGTTTGGGCTTACTTAGTTATAATTAATTCAGGTTCTTAGTCTCATGATTTTGCTGCCCCATTGTTCCACTTTTTCTATTTCCTTTCCCTGTCACCATTTTTTCAGCCTTGGTTTTCCAATATCAAAAGTACATTCAATGATCAAGCAATTTATATTTTAACTAAAGTCACCAAAATATGCAAATTGCTTGATATATATTAAACAGTGTAAACGGGTACACAGATTGAATGACATCACTTAGCCTGTGTGGCAGGCATTTTAAAGAAAAGGGAAAGTGGGTCTTGGTGTAAGAGAAATGTGAGGGAAGGAGGGAGGGAAATGCCTGCCATACAGGCGACTAATTGTTTTTTGCATTATAAACATCAACCGGGTGAATGTTGAAATCACTCCCTTCTTCCTCATGCACTCTTCCCATTTCTCTTGTGCCCAAAACCCCTTTCCCTTTCCTTTTAAATGCCTGCTACAGAGGCTAATCACCACTGAATAAAACAGGCACTAGGCAAGAAACTGACAAAGTCATAACATCCACTCAACAACACACACCAATCTTGGAAGTAGATTACGATTTTCTTTTCTCAGGAGTGATGTGCATATTTCTCTGAATAAAAGTAAAGTGCAAGCTTGGTGGATGTTATGAAATTCTTCTTCTACACTGCACTATTCTTGCAAATTCTCCCAAAAACCATTTTTCATAAAGGATGGCTGGTTTCAAAATGCACAGGGTTTAACTGTATAATCAAACTTATCATTTAATTCGTTACCTGTAATTCTTATTCTACTGATTTTATACCTGCATAAAGGGAATCACATGTATGACTGCAATTTTATTATGCTTTTTTTAGTCCTATTACAAAAACAGACATTCCTACATCAGAGTACTCATCAGCCTATTTCAGGGCTGCAAATAACGGCCGGTCAACGGACAATGTCCGGCCTGATCGCGGACTTGACCGGTCAAACTCCGGTCTTGCCGGTCATTTTGACCGGTCATTTTTGGATACAAACACTTTACTTTCGGCTTTGCTGTAACCAGCAATGTGACCTTCTTTGGGAATTCGAAGGAATTCAGGCAAATCGATCGCAATTCTCAACAGGTCGTCCTGTGTTTCTCCGGGAATAAATGTTAGCGCATCGATTAATAATAATTTCTTTTATGTCGAACATGAATCTCGTTTGCAGACTCGATTCCAGAATGGTCTGATAAAAATTTAAGCTACTCAAGAGGGAAGGTCGTCGTCTATCACGGCGCTAGATTCTCGTTCTTGTAAACAACTTTATGCAAATTTCTGTTGACATTTGAGCCCTTCGCGATAAAATGTTGCGCGATGACCCAAATTTATTTATTGACTTCTGATCATCAACACGTTGTTTGTGGAACAAACTTCTCACCAATGCAAATCAACTTCTTTGCCGAAAATATCAGCGATGATTCTTCTTTGAGGAAGTGACTTTCGATCACGTGCCAGGCAAGGAAAAAGATCAAGTTTCACCGATGTTCATTTCGGAACATCAACGTAAAACAAGCGTATGCAGATTTTGTAAAATAACCCAATTTTTTTGTTTTTTTTTCGTAATTTCTAAAGTTTGCTGAACTGTATGTGTATTCCGTTTCCTGAACCTTGGGAGTTTGAAAAGTATTTACGCTTCACTTTTTACCTCAAGAGACTTCAGACACCGCCGTGCAATGATACTCAAGGTAGAACGTAACATTAAAACGCGCGAAAACCGCGGAAAGGAACTCTACAACGTGCGAATGCATTTTTCACCAATTTGCTGTCAAAAATGTGAACATCAATGTAGTAATAACAATCTATTGCCAGCATAATTGGATATTCCTTAGGCAAAAGAAAATTATTAGTATTCATTATTTGACCGGCCAGAATCGGGGTTTGTCCGGGCTAAAAAATATTTGGCCGGTCATCATGACCGGCAACCTGCTGTCCGTTATTTGCAGCCCTGTATTTATATACCAATTTCGAACATTTTATGCTCACCTAATGCTATTGTTTGGAGGATCCAGTCGCCACTGCCCGGCTATTTTGTGATCAGCTTGTGATTACAACAGTAACACTTCCAGTAACATGTCACATTGGTCTTCGCGAAAACATGCCGGTTTGAATCCGGTAAAAGTATCACAAAACGTGGGGCGCGTTGGGGAGCGATAAAAATTTAGCGTAAAACAAGATGTGTAGAAACACTTACAACTATCTTCTACTTTCGACAGGCAATACAATGGAAATTATAGCTTCTTAAAAACCGGGTTCAAATTTCATGCTCTTACAGGAGGAATCTTCGGGCTCCACGTTTTAGATTGAAATGAAGAATATTGATTTGTTTTTCTGCACAGAAAAAATCTAAACAAATGTTAGCTTATGAAATCGAGAAAAACGATCTAAGGAAAGAACTGTATCTATTGAAAAATAAAGCATATAACCTGTGAAATTTTTCGACCTTCGCCGCCATCTTGAAAATTTTGAATCCACAATGCATC